ATACCGACTGATATAATTTTTTATTATTTATTTATTTTTTAATATTTTGCGTCAATATTTGCTTCTAGATTAACATATGTCACGAGAATGAATACCACAAAATTAGTTGTTTATTAGGAAATACAAATATTTTACTCTTTCATATAGTATATAAAAAACTTGTTGAGAACTGAATTGAAAGCAATGCAAATAAAACTTGAAGTATTTAATAATTCTCAAATTTGTGTGAGAACATGTGCACAAAAGTTGTTCAATACCCTGTCATCATTAAAAGTTGCTTCACAAGCATATTGACTTGATGTATGAATGAATGAATGAAACAGGCATTGAGCATTGCATTTGCTAGGCATATAGAATAACTTACCTGAAGCACTTGAGAGAGTAGGATGAATGAATAGAACAGTGGCAATGCTTACGTTGGTTGAAATACTCGGGTGTAGGGTATCAGTTGATCGAGCAGACCTTAGCTTAGGTGTCTCTTTTTGACTGCTGCTTGTTATTGCTGTTTATTTATTTGAATTTTTTCGTGTTTTTGATTACCGTTAGCAAACACCGGAATATGAGTGTAGTGCGAGTGTTTAACAAACGTAAACACACGAGCACCAATTTCCGCACATGCCACACACACACACGCACAGACACATCGAGGTCGCTACACTTAGTTCATAAACGTTGACAATTAATATAGCAAATGGCGGCCATTGAGCCAATTAGAAATGCGCAAATGGGCATGTAAAGCTGAAGTTGGAAATGCAGCTAAAGCGGCTGCTCAGTCCGCATGGAATTAATTGTAGCAATTACATGGTGCCCCAGGGTGTTGACACGCACCGCCCACACAAAGCAAACAGCCAACAAATCGATTAGTGAGTGAAACGATAAAATGTTTATCAAATTCAAATCTCTAAAAGAGTTTTGCAATTTTTAATGGTTTCCTGGCAGCAGGGCGCAAAGTTCGATGGCTTGAAAAGCCGTAAGGTATCAAAATGCAGATTTTTAGCCTTGATGATCTGCATCATATAGATATTAAAAACATTATAGTCCAGGTACGTCCAATTGGGACAATTATAGAGATGATGATGACTGGCACAACGATCGATGATCCATTCACGCTGATGTTCGGTGTTCAATTCAAGCGGCTTCTGCAATGGAGAGTCGGAGTGAACGAAGTGCTGGGTCACCGAGTAGGACAGGCCCGCATCGAGAGTGTCCTGGATTACGGGTTCCTCGAGGATCTCCGCTAGCTCGGGCATTTTTTGCTTGGTCTTCAGCGAGAGTATATACCAGGCTGGCATCAAATTGAATCTTACGGCCTGCATTAGGAATAGCTTGTGTTTTTTGCGTTCCTCCCAGTCGTACATCATCCAGCGTAGGGCGCTCATAAGTACCTCCATCTCGGAGTTAACAGCGAGGACACTGGTTGTCAGCATTGCATAGACCTGTTCAGCCGTCAGGTTCAGGTACTCCGTGGTCGTCACAGCTGTCAGAAAGAATCGATTCACCCGAGTCAGCATCAGGGCTTGCAACATCTCAGTCGGATAAGGAATGGCCTTTATATATAGATTGAAGGCATGGCCCTCGCTAAAATTCTTGGTATTTTCGAAATAACCCCACAGCCTATCTATGAATTTGGGCATTTTCAGAAAGCGTGCTGTTCGGTACATATCTAATAGCCAATCGACTCTTAGCCTAAAGGCTTTCCCCTTAAGTATCCACTCATAGAGTTTTTCGAAGGCCAACACCGTCACCTCTGGCTCGTCGATAACGATCGTGTGCGTTGAGGTAAACAGCCTAAAGTATTCCGACGCCACCTGCAGCACGGTCAAGTGGCAGTCAAAGGTGGTACCATGCACCACCACCTGGACGTCGGTGCGAATGCGATTCTGCACAATGTTGGCCAGGCCAGCTTTCAGTTTAGCTTGATTGCATATCAGATGGCATTTAAAAGAGTCGTCCAGGAGGGTTTTCCTGTCCGAAACTGAGAATGGCGCATACTCAACGTCAGCGAGTGGGGACTCTTTGCAGCATTCAAGAATATTCATCAGGACGCTTGGGTTTCTGTGAATAAGTGTGGTTAGGTTTGAAGAGTTTCGTGTTTTGTGCCAAGTCTACGTACATATCTTTAGTCATCAGATTTCGTTGCTCCAGAATCGCATTCTTCATCTTCAGCTTGTCCATTTTATCACATAGAATTTTTTTGCTATTTGATTTAGTTCATTTGCTACACAGAATAAAAATCAATGCTCACTTAGAAATTGTATAGATTGTTTCAAAGTAGCCCAGGTGTTGCTGGCGTCTTAACACAACATTTGTACTATTAACAGCTTTATTTGCGGCTGGCAAATAGAGCCGGGCTAACTACACTTTGACTGCACTTGGAGAGCCTCTGCCGCAACTACAGGACTTCAAATCTCTCGTTCGTTATTCGTTTTTAGTGCCAGCCTCTGTGTCAGCTCAAGGGCTTAGTTTGAATGGAAGTCGGAGCGATTATCTGTGCAGGCAGCCCCATGTGCTGGCCGCCCCATCTCATATCGGGCTAACCACAAATTCCAGTCATTACAGGCAATGACTGTAGACGGAGGCTGGCCAGGATTTTGTGTGGCAACAACAAGCAGAGCAGCTAACCAGTTTACCAGTTTACCAGCTGCTAGATGGCCAGTTGGTCAGTCGACCGCTCAGGTGAAGGCTAAGCGGGCATCGAGGTATTGCAAAATTGAGCTTAAGTCGCAATTAAGCAATTGCCCAACTATCGAGTATGTTCTTATTGGGCCAGGCCAGGCATGCTCGGATAACAGCTCTCTGTTTTCAATAAAGCTGCGCCTTACTCATCCTCCTGCATAACTATGACAGCCAGAGGAGCGGCAGCAGTCTCTGCCATAAATAGCGAGCGCCAAGCCCCGCCCCTGCCCTTCCTGATTTGAAAGCATTGCACTGCATTTACGGGCCGTGGCTTTTTAGTCCAGTAACAAGCAGCTCTATACAATATTTAAAGCACAAATGCTGCACAATGTTGGCCAAAGTAATCTCAAGCTCTGCAGCAGCAGCAGCAGCAGCAACAGCAAAGCATCGACGACGACTCGCAAGTGCCACAACTTGCGGCAGTCCGCAGAAAGCAAATGGAGCATTGCGAGCAAAATAAAAGCAAACAACAATTTTTTGTAATGCTTGGCAATGGCCAACTTCGGGGCTATTCGCAAGCGTTAAGGCAACTTTGCGGCGATTTTTTCTTTAAGTGGAAAACTTATGCCTTTGCCATCGCGCGAATGCGTTGCCTGCAACGAAGCTGAAAAAGTGCCCAGCCGGCAGCGTGAAAGTGGCTCAAATATACCAAATAGCAGTTGACTGACTGGGCTCCGATAGCGCCTCGCTTGCCCTAAAGCACAAATTCATGACTTGATTTTTAACGTTTTCCAATGGCTTGGCTCGAAGTTTGTTATAGATTATGCAAGATTTAATTGAAACCGAAACTCAAATTTCAATTGAATTTTGGCATTAATGCTGCTGCTGCTGCAGCGCCATAAAGCCGATACGATTGTCGACTCAACGCTCTACGTTCGGGCCAATGAATATCAAATTACCATAAACAATACAATTGAATGAGCAGCAAAAATATAAACATAAACCTCGTGCACACACAGCTGAACTGCTATGGCAATAGACACATGTCTGCTAGCACACACACACACACACGCATGCAGACTCCCACAAGCGCATGTTGGCGCGACATCAAAATGCTAATAATCAGCGTTATGTTTGCCCGTTTCGATATCGCTCATACGACGCTTGGTCCCGCGCTAATCCCAGCACGCAGCATCAATAAGTCAAACACGTCAATCGCAAGCACTGCCAGAAAAAAATGTCGACAACAACAACAAGAACAACAGCAAAAGAAAAGAAAAACAATAATACAACAACGAGAACACTGCACAGCAAACAACGCGAGCAACAACAATGGGACAACAACATCAAGAGCCACGATGCTGAGTCAAGCAAGGACAAAGACGAAATTTATTGTTGCTCAATGTCGCATTTATCATCACTTTATGCTACTTAATCGAGTCGTCGGCGTGCGTTTTTCTATGCCCTGTTTCCGTTTCGTTTCCAAAAATGTTTCATTGTTTACTTTTGCCTCATACTGTTTGTGTGTGTGTGAGTGTGTGTGAGTGTGTGTGTGGGTGTGTGTCAAGCACACGCTTATTGTTTTTTTCCAGCTCACACTCACACGCACTCTCACACCCACATGGACGCACGCACACAGGGAAAGCAGAACACGCACGTGCTTAAGTATTTTTCAGCGTCTTTTTATGCTTTATGGCGCCATTGAATTCTTCGTTTGCTTTCTTATTAAAATATAATTTATATGTGTAGTCGCAGCAAGGACAAGGACAAAGCAATACCCAGAGCCGAGGCATCAATTGTTTAATGGAAAACAGAATCAACAATAACAGCAAAAAGATATATGTCATCAGTTGCCAGTTGGAACTTAGCTCCTCTCCGTACAAGCTGAGCTCAATTGACGTTTATTTTCTTATTTATGTCCACGACAAAGGAAAATATTTGGTTCATGAAAGTCAGAAACGGCCTGCTCCTACAGCTCCCTGCCAGCTGGATAAATGTCACCTCTCATCTGATTATTTTTATTAAAATGTATTTTTTTTCTTCTTCATTCAATTCAATTTGAAATAAAGTATAAAAAACCAGTTAAGTGCTGGAAGCAGATTTTTATATTTTGAAGAATTTTCCGAAATGGTTGTCATGTAGCCTTAAGCTTTAATTATCCAACTATTGTAGATATAATATTGAATCAGAATTAAAAATATATAAGAACTTAGCCTGAAATTTTTTATTCTTATTATTTTTAAATTCATTTGATTTGCTTTTTTCACAATGTGCAGTTGATTTTATTGTCCCACAAATAAATGACACTCCCAAATTTAATTCCAATTTTGTTAATAACAAGTAAGATAGCTCTAGTCAGCGGCTCCGACTAAGAGATACCCTGAACGTCGGCTGATCTGGGTTCTTTAATATACTTAGCTTTTCTCAATGCATCGATACATAAGAGACGCGTGAAAGTTGTTGCAAGCTTTGAGATATAAATCTAAAAAAAAAAATAAATAAATAAATAAATAAAAAAAAATGTTAATAAACACAAAAATGTATATAAAATAAAATGAGAGAGAAAAAAATTATTACAAGCATATATTTAAATATAAGAATTCAGCAAGGAATCTGCAGTGGTAACTGAATTTCGATTTTCATTATAATAAAATGGAAATATTTATTAATTATAATTATAGGCTAACTTCTGCCTGTTACATACATTTTGACAATGCTGATATACCCCAAATTATTTATTCAAACTGGGTTCAGGGTATACAAATAAATGTGCGAGTGCGTGCAACTGTCAGCAGCAATTGAATTCGCATGTGTACAAAATAAGATTTTGCGGTTAATTGTAAAAATGCATTCAGTCAGATTTATTAAATTTTTGTATTTAATGAATATGATTGGAAATTCCATTTCTTTATTTGCGTTGCTCATTAAAAAATGTTCAAAAATAATAGTTTAATTTTTGCATACAAGTAAATACTATCAGCAAAAAACTAGTATTACATTTTAAATAGTTTGCTGTCGGTTAAGTAACATAGGAAATTAAGGAAATAAGACCTCATGATTGGTGACATATTTTAGTTGAAATATTCCTCACAGTCCTCGTCAAAGTAATAATTGCAAATAAATTTTTAAAATACATTGATGATATACTAAATCAGCTTGACGATATGAAAAGCCTATTAATTAAATTACACAAAATTGTGTTATACTTGTAAATAAAGCCTTTCAAAAGCCTATTAGGCAAGGTTCATGTTGTATCAAATCGCTTTTAAATATTTTCAGTCAGCATTCACAATTGAACTAAGGAAACTATTTTTTGCTTTCTCTCTGCTTTAATTTTCATTGTGAGCTGTTACCCATTCATTATCAACGAATAATTGGCTTACTTTTTCAGTTTGCAAACTTGTTTCCTAAAAGTTTTTCTTTGAGTATTATTTATTCCTGTATAAAGAAAACTATATTCAAAGTATGCCGTAATATATAGGAATTATAATGTAATGAACTGCCTTTGGGGCCACAAATAACGAAACGTGGTATTTCTTTTTAAGCAAAATCGTTGCATAGGATTTTGTCTATATTAATGGTAATTGAGACAGTGTCAATCACATGCCATAAATAAAATGGAGCAGAACTTTTTTAATTAAATGCAAGGGCAAAGTTGTAAGCGTGTGAATCTGTTTGTTAATCAACACTTTGAGCGGAAATAGACAAAGTTGTAATAGGTTTATTAATCGTCCAGAAATTTGCTCAACAGGGTTGCTTCAAAGATTGTCATAATTTCTAATGAGGCCAAAGTCCACAAGCAGCAGATTTCGAGTGTCCATCAATAATACAAACATGGCCCAAATCGCTACAGCTACAGCTGGTAAGCCAGTTGGTCATTGTCGGGCTTTAAGCCAAAGGCCAAGTTAAAGTATTGAGCGATGGTTGTCATGGTGCTTTGTTCATGGTGCTTTGACTGGCTCAGCGGCCAGCCAGCTAATTAATGTGCAAAGTGTCAATTAATCAATCAGTCGATCGATCAATCCTAGCATCCAACTTTGATGAAGTCAATGAAAACGCAGTGCCAACGATTACCGACCAAATCCTCTAGTTAAAGGCGAGCCAGCTTTGTGTTAGTATATGTGCGATTCTCTGTGTATGTGTGTGTGTGGGCGTGTAGACGTCTACTGGTATTGGCTGCGTAAGCTCAAAGAGCTGTCGAAACAGGCAGCTGCAAATAACTGGCGACAAAGCCGCTCACAGAGTGCATAAACAATGCGTAAAGAGTAAAGCGAAAAAATAAATACGATAACAAAGGAAATCAAATAATAAAAGCGAGGATTCCAAAGAGCAGCAGCAAATGTGTCAACATCGGGTTTGCCTTGCCCAAAGAACTTTTAATTTATATTTACACAAGAAAGAAACTATTTTAAAAATGATTTAAAAAGGTCAAAGAGTTAAAAAATAAATAAAACAAAATTGAAATTAAATATGAAGCATGACTAAGCAATTATTAGATTTGATGAATTTCTGATAATAAATTCTTGAATTCTATTTCTATTTCTATTTATGAATTTTAA